CGAAAATGAGATTATATGTTTTGTTTTTTTTTTGTTTCCGGCGGCCTGTCTCTCCATCTCTTTAACTTGGAAAGTACCGTTTGGATTTTGATGAAATTTTCGCACAAGGTTACTACTATGCTAAGGCCAAATACGAAAAAAGGAAAATCGCTGAATCTTCATTTTTTCACGTTTCAGAGGATCCTGATCATTTTGGAAACTTCTAACTCCAGTAATTCTATGCGCCTATCAGGCATGTTTCGAACATACATTGCCCTTAAAACTGAGAATGATAGAAATATTTTGCACTAGCCGCTGCTCGATCTCGGACGAACATGTAGGTGACGAATTTTAACCTGAACAGCTGATCAGACGTCAAAGACAACTTCACCTTTATTGAATATAAATAATCAGATAGTTATTCAGTTGTGAAATAGCGAATAGACGACCACTCTTCTGCGAATATGAATATATTTTGTGACATTTTTAGTACCTTTTCCTCTAGGAAGTAATACGTACTGAAGTTATCCTCGATTATTTATGAACAAAAAATAATAAATTTACAATACTTTTTCTCCAATCGTGATCATTATATCACATGAGGGTTAGCAAACATAGTAAACCCACCAGAACCTAAGAAAATTATATTTATATTCCTCGGCGTTATGCTTGGCCAATTATGGCATAACAAGATATATAATGTACTGTAACGATAACACCTATTTAAAGTGTAATCTTTTACTCTTACACTAACTTATAACAACACTTCGTGGAAGTTACCCAGTTGGAGGTCGATACATGATGTGGGTCGAAACTTCACCTTGACGCCGCGAACGCTCACGTAATTCTGGTTGCATAAGCGTCGATGTACAAGGGTGTCTCACTGGTACGCTAAAATTCTATTATACGAGGGCGCTACAGTACTATTTCCTTTTATTAATTGCTTATTTTTCAACATGACGTCAACTTTCCAAGAAAAGATCACCAATCAGCCTCTCTCGTAATTATTCGTATGATTTGTATTCTCTTAATTTCGACTAATGAGGGTGGTCGTGTATATATAGTTCTAAGCATAAGTGGCTGGCAGCGCCACGGTACGTATGCTTATTTTCGCTCAGGTACGGCATTCGATTGAATCGTGTATCTTCTTGTAAAATATTTTAATCAATAGGAATGCGACGCACAGTGGTCTAACGCCGCTACTTAGAAAAAAATATAGCTGCATTTAAGAAAGTAGTCACATGAATTGAATTATCATTAAATATATTAAGTATTAGTTACTATTGCAGTATTTATAATATATGGCAAACTTTATCTAAATAACAATTTGGCGAGTATTTACTGTTTTACATCCATGAACTCGAATCAACTTTGGCAAATAGAAGGGCATTTCAGTAAATTTATAGCTACACGATCAAGTCGAAGTTTGAAAATCACCTCAAGGGAACTCTTTTGGGGCATTCGAAAACATTCAAATGGCTCTAACTGATCAGCTGAAGGCTATTCCAGTATGATAATAATATTGAATAAAAATAAGTACACCAAAATAAAATCTGTTACAAGAAGTGCAGTGGTTGAATATAAAAAATTTCATATCATATTTGGTTCTTATTTTTATATTTAAAATAAAAAATCATCTTTTGCCAGAACATTTAGAACACTACATAGAATTGAATAATCATTACCACAATTATTATACAAGAGGAAATATAGATTTTCGTTTACAAAATTGCAATAGTAATATAAATATTTCAGAAAGAATTAGTTGAATTTAATAAACTAAGTAATGATAAGTCTACGTGTAATTTAAAGATATTTAAAAGAAAAGTAAGGGAATATTTCATGGACAATGAAAATTCTTAGATATGCAAATTTTTTTTCTAAATATGTGTATGTTATGTAATTGTTTAGTTTTTTAGAAGAATGTAATTGTAGCAATCATGCTAAATAAATCTTAAACAAACAAACAAACAATGACATCATCTTTCAATCATTAAAAAATACTTCGTTTTTAGACTGTTTTCGCGCTAAGTAGTGACTCTAAACCATTGTGCAACACTGCCAGATACTAATTTTTCTACATTTCAACTTATCTCTTGTGATTCCTTCTCCCTCATACTAATAATACCGTAAAAGAATAATACAATGTTGGCTTTTTCTTTTTCTGTTAATGTGGAATTGACATGTTTGCTAAAAACAATCTTTCGAAGCATTGGTTTTTGTCAACAACCTGGGGTCTGATTCCAAATGAGTTTCGAACGTTGAAATTGATTTCGATGGCGCCTCGGGACGATATACTTGATTCGCTGTGATAATTTTGACACCGCCACGATAATTTGAATATAGAAGATCGATATAAACAGATGTCAAAATTATCATAGCGAATAAACTATATCGTCACAAGTCGCCGTCGAAATTAATTTCAACAGTTGAAACTCATTTAGAATCAAGCCCCAGATATAGGTGTTTCTTACGACTTGTTTTTAACTGCTTGTTTTTGTTTTGTCCCAATGATAACATTATTCGAGCTAACAATTTTAGTCAATTTACAATGTATACAGTACGAACGCGTGTGTTGTCTTCACTTTCTAACACCCTGCATAATGTTGCAAATCGGCTAGGTTTCATGTTTTTCACGCTTTCAGCTTCAGGTGGAGGGGATGCACACGCTAATGGCCACATAAAAGCAAATGGTAACGCTATGTTGGTCAGATCCAGTAGTATAAAGCCACCAAACATTCTGGTATATGCTGACAGCTTAGTGGCTAAGGATAATGTAAAAATTGCGCTGTCGACCATGTTGAATAGAGAGAAGTATGTCTACTTGTTTTATGTGTTAAGTAATTCTGTACTAAAATGAATTCGCAATTAATTGTTTTGAAAGGACCCATTGTTATGTCTCGCTAGTTTCGTTTGGTTCTTTACTACAATTGGATGTGAATTCTTATAGAAATGTGGACAATTTTTTGATATCTAAATTCCAGCAGAGTGAAAATAGACATTTAGGACATGGTTTTTGATAAGTAAAATTTGATGAATGCTTTTAGGTACACGATCTACGATCTTCCGATGGACTCAAAGCAAATGATCTGGGACCAGTCGACAGTCCTTGTGGTCGTATGCGGTACAGTCCCTCCAAACCTTACATTCAATCTATTGCAGTACCTGTTACAAGGTGGTCAATTATTGTGCTTGTGCAGTGATCTCCTGTACAGCGTACTGCACACCTTCACTACTGCTGAAGTGAGAGAACACGAGTTGGTTTGTTTCAATTATGGAAGGTGGAAGAATGTAAAAATGATGCATCATATATTTTGTTACCAGGCATCGCCAGCTAAGAAGCAGTTTTCCAAGGATTCCGATCATTCGAACCAAAGGTTAATTTTCTGTTACTGTTTTTTAATCATACCTTTCAAAGAAATTATCACAACACCAAAAAGTAATCCAACGAAAATTTTGCACAATTTTTCCCATGTATTTTTTCACGGTGACCACAAGTGTGAAGTCAAATTTGGGGTCGATGGACAAATTTTAGAGAAAACGGATAAAAACGATCTACCAAAAAATCTTACTATATTTTTTCCAGCTATTTTTTTTCCCTCTGAACACGAATCTATAGTCAAATTTGGGGAAAGATGGACAATTATGAAAGTAATTTAGGCCCGTATCGTCAGTCGTCCCTACAATTGTACTTTTGGTTGAGTTGCATCTTTCAGAGACCTCTGAAGAGATGCACATCCACAAAATATGCCAAAATGTGTGATCTTGATGCCCGAACTACTTCAGACCCTCAATTTTGTGTTCAGCGTGAAAAAGTACGTGGAAAAAACATAGTGGAATCCCCATCACCGACCGCTTTTTTATTTTGTGGGCCTGTGTTAATAAACCCACGCAAATTTCTTGAAAAAGTATTTATTGTTTTCTATGGAATACAAATCCGTGTAGCATATCAGTTACCATTTCTTTTTCTGCAGTTTAGAAAACTGTGTACTGATTAAATGTTTTCCAGTAGCACCGGCTCTAGTCCCATAGCTCCACGCACGCCATCTATAGTGGAATTGCAGCACAATGGAAAAGACTACACGATGCAAGTGCAAGTGTTGGGAACTGAAGAAACTTGGCAAACTCCCAGCTTGCTATTGGCTACTGTTAAGGGTGGCGAAGGAAGGGCCGTATTCTCACAGGTATTTGGAAAAAATAGTGATTTAAAATTATCTTATTATTATTTTTGCAGGTTCACCTTGAAATAAATCCCAATCAGTTCGAGGATGATGAGCAAAAATTTGAGACACTGAAGCTCAGTGATCAAGCTAGGCTTGAGATTCTGAAAGACATCCTTGCTAGTCACTTAGATATAGATTGTACTTCTTCAGAAGAACCTGCGTACACTCCTGGATATTTTCTGGGTAGACACGAGGTGAATAATTATAAGTTCTCACTTGGTTTACCATAATATGTTTGATTTTGTAGATGAAAATGAAGCTATTGAATGAAGGAAGTAGTATCAAGAATAGTGTCCTGGAAACGGAAAACATAACTGTGAAATTTTGTGGTAAAAATGAATCTCCAGAGTCTGCTTCCAAGAATTTTTTACCTGTTTTTATCCACTCCTGCCCTTCCAATTTTTCTACTGTTAGTTATTTCGAGGTAAGCAAAATATTTTTTCGATCCAACAGTTATTGACAACTTTCTTATTTCATGTATGTGTAACATTGAATAGAAACTAGGCATTTATCGCGAGTGAGAGATATATTCTATCTGGGGTTAAGGAATTCTCATATGTGCAATGAATTTTTAGGCTTTAGAAACTCAACATATCGGCAGACTAGTTATTTATAGTGATGTTATTGCAAGTTCGCAAGCAATAATAGGCAAAATGTTGGCACATGGATTAGTTGTAATTCCGAGGAAACAAGTTAATGGAGTCGGTGAGTGTTATGTCTATTTCTGTAGCTTGTAGCTTCAAAAACATTTCAGTCACACCTCACAGAACGACCACATTCGTCATATGAAACTATTACCATTGATTCCAGCTGAACACAGCCAACCATAGACAGACGTGTGAATATTTATAGGGTAGAAAACACATCCAAAAATAACAAAAAAAAGTTCCTATTAATATGGGTCCAAAATGCTCCCCCACCAAGATACAGGGTGATGAAGTTTCCCTTACCAAACTAAACCAGGGTCGTAAAAACTCGGATACCTGGACACCCAAAAGGAAATATTTTCTACACCACTAGCCCTTTCGAGAAAAGAAGGCATTTTATGAAATACTATTCAATTTCCCATAAATTATGTCCCTTAAGGAATTTTTGTATGAGCACTCGTTTTGGAGATATTTAGGTTTGAATACTAGAGATAAAATCCCTTTAAATTTCCAGGTAGAGCAAATAATACATGGATAAGTCCAGAAGGAAGCGCTTCATTTTCCCTCCAACTACATGTTGAGCTCGATTCACCATTAGGAAAAGCTCTTTCATTAATGCAACATCTTGTTATGGTTGCTATAGTTTCCGCTGTCAAATCAGTCAGGGGATGTGAGGTAAGAGAGCTTCAATTTAGTAAAAATAACGTCAAGTAGATTGATTCAAAATTTCCCGAGTTTTATAGCTATTGAAGCATTTAAAAAATGTAAAATCAATGTTAAATGCACCAAGAGCAATTAGGCCATATTTTTCATGTGGAATGCGTCATAATAATGTTGAGAAAAATACTTTTAGCTGAAATGTACGTTTGTTTTCCGTCTCCTGCAAACAAGTCAAACCGCAGACAACGCTGTTTCGCACTCATTATCAACTCATCAGTGCGATATAGGTCTAAGATCTAGTCCTGGAGTCATGTGAAACGGGAAGTAAAGAAGTGGGTTTTTGAAAAATTCAAAACATTGTGCGCAAGTAGGTGAAACCAAAGCGCATTTTTATCCTTATAATCAACGATGAAGACATTAGAGAGACCCTTACGCTCTCCAGTATTTATATCTGTGTATCATTTTTTTTACTATTACATCATTTCATTTTATCGTAGATTGCGAATAAGGAATTCCTTTGTTTCAGGATCTGAATATTGGAATAAAATGGCCAAATGATCTGTATGTAAATGGTCATATTAAAATAGGAGGACTTATGGTTCAAACTTCAGTTATGGGTACGCAAGCAATTGTAAATATTGGTGAGTTTCTTTTCAAGGCTATAAATACCAGAACATTGTTTGAACTAAGACTTCATTGGCTCGAGAGTTTTGTTTAAAAACAACTAATTTTTTTTATGTTGCGCCTCTTATCTCCTTGCTGATTTTTATTTAGTTTTGATACTGAAACAAGTAATCTTAGTACAAAATATTAAGCTTATGTGCCAAACCGTTTAGGCGTTGTATTTGTTATATTCGAGACGAAATGAGATACCCATGAGAATTTGTCACAGCTTAGTAAACAACAACTTGAGTGAGAGGAAACATGAGCGCTGGCAGGATTCGAGAACCAAGATCTCCTCCATTCCGTCAAGCCGACCTAACTAATTGGCCTACAGTACCAGCTTCCAACCAACTTTCAAGATCGAATGTTAGAGGCAAATTCACTCCTACCCGCGCCACTGTTCCCTTGTTCTTTCAAGCTGACGGCATTCAAGTGAAATAAACCAGGGTAAGGCTTCACCACGCCTCCTTGTGGGCATGGATTGAATTTGACTCACAACAGTAGATCCGGAAAAATGGTGCTAATGGGCTAGGTCGGCTGCACGGACTGGAGGAATATGGATTCGAATCCTACCGGGGCCCATTTAACCTTTCTCTCAAGTTGTTGTTCACTAAATGTAGCTTTGTTGCAACCTAGAGATCAACCCTTGCAGACGTGAGTTCCACACCGTGTAGCTTCTAATAAACGATATTTTTTTCAGGAAGCGGCGTTAATTTAAATAATCAAAATCCAACAATGTGCATAAATGAACTTATCAGTGCGACCAACGAAACGAAAGGTTCCAACATGAGTAAAATTCCTTATGAAGCATATTTTGCTGCCGTGTTCAATGAAATAGAAAGGATATTTATCAAGGTTCAAAGTGGAGATATGGATTATCTGTTTGATCTGTACTATAAATACTGGCTCCACAAGTAAGTTGATATATATCATACGCTTTCATATTCTGCGCCGTTTTTCATTTTAGTGACGTCATTATTTTTGTTGCTGCAGTGTTGACGCCACGTTAAACGTCACAGATATGTCATATGATGCGATGTAACAGATTGGGAAATACAACAACAACAAAGATAATATGTCAGCATATTTCCACGGTTTTCTGTTACAAAAACGTTAGGCTTTTCCAAAATCATCGATACGAATATAAAGTAACTATGCCTCGATATTTCATTCTATTTTAATACTGGGCTAAATCGTTCCCTTTAGTGATCCGACTTCTTGATTTCGATTCCGGTCTCTGCACTGTTCCTTCAATTCCGCATTTCCAAAACATACAATCAGTAATAATGAGCGCCACAGTAACAACACTGCAGCAGTAATCGTTGATCGATTCCGATGTTTCCGATTCCTGAACTCAAACTCGACTCAATTAGGATTCGGATATTGCGTTTGATTTTAAAGACCCCGGATGAAAATCCACTATATATAGTGCATGTGGGCTCTGGGTACATTTTGCCGTTGGACATTCACGCGGATGCATTAAACTGGTAGGAAGGGTTTTGAGGAGTGTTAACTCAACCCCTCCGCCAATGTTGTCGATTGGGGCTATCTGACACTTCCATTTCAGATGTCTCATTGGAAGTAGTGTTGGACTTGCGCAATTTTGCGGTAATCAGCGAATTTAACTTGAACTTGTCATCATTCGTTTCACTGTTGCCAGCAATGAGCCTCTCGCCGAGCGTCAATTTCTCTGGTAGCCAACCCATGTTTCACATTCGAGTACATCATTAGGAGTTGCAGTAAACACTTCGCGTACTCTCTCTTCCCTACTCTCTTCACGTAACTATCAAAACAACCATGTCCCCTGGAAAATGCGCAGTATAGTAATCAGTATGCTCGCTTGTCAATCTAAATTTTAATAACTCTGATTAGTCTCCTAGTTCATGCACCATGAACAGTTGCACCCCATCTCTCCTGCCATCTTACTAAAAGCGTCTCTCTTTTATTGCCTCTAGTTAGAAATGGTTCCTTTGAAACAACTCGTTCAGAACCAAACAAATCTAATTCGAACAAAAATTACTCATAATATTGCGGGCATTTCTAGAGCTCTTCGCGGTATTAAAACACAAATAACTTTTTATTTCTGGCCAATAACGAAATTTTTGTGTTTCAGCAATTGCGACATAACAGTGACAAATAAATCCGGAGAATCGGAATTCGTGAAAATCGTAGGTATAGACGATTATGGCTATTTGAAAGTGAGGGGTCAAAATGGCGCCATATCTTCTGTCCAACCCGATGGAAATACATTTGATATGCTGAGGGGCCTCATTTGCCCAAAACCGTTTTGAAAAGTTTCTCTCTAGGTGTTCGTCCGCGTTATTAAGAAAATGTTAATGTGTATTTTTTTCGAATTGTTGGCTTGTTGAAATGTTTCCAAAGCCAAAAATATATGTGTATTTTTTTAATATAAATAAATATTTTTCTGGTTTATAGATTTATAGACTAGGCGGATTAGGGATCGATGTTGATGCTTTCTAAAGTAGCGGATATTTCTGCATTTGAAGTACTCCTGTATCATATTTAATAAGAATAAGAGTAAAAATTAACAACACGAATGATATTTTTCTAAGTATAACGCTCAGAATATCAAACAGAACTGAAATAATACATTTCCAAAGGACTCGAAAAATATTAATTTCTTGTAGTTATGTTTGTTTTTTATATTTTTCGCTCCTTATAAGACTGGCGCATAGGCATTTTTAATAATGTCTAGAAGAAGAAGTGTCCGTTATTTCTGAGAACATCGAAAAACCAAGTTTGCTGGACTTAATCCGTCTAAGGTATTATTTTTCTGAAAGTTATGTATTTGTGATTTTAAAATATAAATTTTAATAAATCGTGTCTATCAATGTTAGTTTCTTATTTGATCTTTTTAACCTGCGGTCCTAATATTAAGCGTTTTGTTTTACGGCACATAAAATGGCGTCAAGTGGGCAGACTCCGCCCCTCCCATCATCCCCTTCATCAAGTTGTAAAGAACTAACCTAAACCCGCTTCGCCCGCATGGAAGTAGTATAAAGCTATAGGTCACTCGTTTTACATTAGAGAAAGAAGCATATACTATACCCACTAATGCCATAGATTCCCTCCCATACGCTACAACTATCAACCCGCAATTTTGAACACTTACAAAAAGTGTTCTGAAAAGAACCAGGAGCCCCTCAAAAACAGGAGTTGAACGATTTTTATTTTTGCCTCTAGATTCGCCGCCAGTGGACCGATTTTCAAACATAATAAGCTTTTCACCTTGTATGGAAATTACATTTTAGAAAACCCGAAAAGACACTTTCGTCTACTGAAAATAACTTTTATAATTTCATCGTATTAAGTGTTGAAAATAAGCTTAATTTTGTGTAAGGTTGTCTACTTCGCACATTAATCGTTTTCGAGGTATAGAGAAATACCAGCTAATTCTGCCCTGCGCCGTGTAGGTGGCGTCACTAATAGAGTAACCAAATTTCCCAAGCATGCAAGTTTGTTGACAATTTACTAGTGCCATACAAAACGTAATCGAAAGTTTGTAGCGTTACTTAAAACTAATGTTTTGCGTTGGTAACAGTTTCAAGCGCTTGATAGTCACGGGTCAAAAGGGGCGATGGCTGGCCTCTCTGTTGCCATCATGACGCTGACGGTGGAGATTTTGGTACTTGCCAAGACAGTTGATTGCAAAATCGACGATGAGTTCGCAGATATAACCATAAAATTTCTCGAGTTTGAATTAGTAAGTGTAGACATTTTTACGTCTCTTTGTTACATTATTTTTGGCAAATCAGCACCGTCTAGTCTTGGTCCCAGGTAGCACGACATAAGAAAGCTGCGTAGCAATCATATGTCTGATGTCCAGTTTTTTATAGAGGTACCAGCCTAAACCCGCGTTTCCACTTGCATGGAAGTAGTGGTAAAGTATATGTCTTACGACTCGCATTTACTGTAGATACTATCATAGTCAGTAGATTTATACGTAGCTGTAATAGGGGGTTTTTGGGTATCCAACACCCTATTCTTTGAAATGTGTCTTTACTTCACATTCCAACAAGCGGTACGATCCTTAGACATAGACTAAGCGAGCAATCAAACAAGTAGTCTTATAAAAAGGAGTATGATTTCCGTTACTTTACTTATTGAACAGTTAAGTTAAACCCTGGACTCTCTAAAAGCAGACTTTGAGTTCTTATATTAACAAAGATTACGTCGCCATTTATACACACATGAGGAGTAAAATCTGTGGCTACTGGTGAAGCAGCCATAAGCATAACTTTAAGCATCAAGAGATTCAAATTAGATAGATATTAATGCACACTTATTATTAACCAAAAGAATGGTTAAGCCTACAAATATTATCGGAGAACTAGATTATACTATTAGGACAAGAACTGTTGGAAATTCAATAAGTAAAGTTAGACAGGGACAAATTGTAAAATAAGCCACTTGAAGTGAAATTGTGGAAATACGTATAAATACCTGGAATACAGAGGTGATCTTATCGACAGAGACGCGGTAATAGTATCAAGATAAGTTGGATCACGAATCGCCAGGTTCGCCTTTGTCGCGTAAAAGTCTAAGATACTTAAAAAGGGAAATAAGTTTTAGGTTGATGATGGTTCCTGAAAGCTTATGTTATGCTATTTATATGTTTTGGTTCTAATTACAAAATCGAGACATCATAATTCCCACATTTCAAGACTAGCAATAAAAATAGTAGGCCCAAAAGCATTATGATTGTTTAGGTTATTTAGGTATCGCATCTAATGTAAGTATATTATCCACTTAAATTTGATTTACGGTCTTAGTGTATCACGGGTGATGAAAGAAACTCTTTTTTTTGAGCTTGGAGGTTACATAACCTTATTCATTAATCATTACGGACGTCCAGGCTACATTCCATGAAAAATAATATATATATATATATATATACAGGGTGTAAACGTTATGATAGTCACTATTTAATTGGGTGATAGAGGGAACTCAAAGAAGCAAAAAGTTTCATATAACATGGGGGTCAAAACGGCATTTTTTTAAGAGAAAAGCGACCTTAAATTAAAATAAAATCTGACCACGCCGCAATGCCAGCCGCAAATTACGATGGAACGCAGTGTAAATAAAGAATGAGTTTGTTATTTTTGGCTCTTAGGTATTATTTCATTATTTGATAATGTACTCGTAGAATGCAAACAATTAAAAAAATGGACTTACCACTAACTGTCTCAGCGCTTCACCTAGTGTGTGAAAGTTTATTGAACGTATTATAAATAGGGAACACAATGTTGATACATACATTGTTTTTCTTTTTAAAACCCACACTGCACTTTTTTGTATTTAAAGGTGTTCAAAATGTCGTCCTCCGCTTTCCACACAAGCTTCATTACGATCTTCACGAATGGTATGAGGATTTTCTTGGGCCCACGTGTATATATATATTATAATATATAAATATTACCCTTAATAGGCATGGAAAGACACATGAGGTTTATGAAACATATTTAATCTCAAAAGTGTGCTAATAGAATAAAAATATCACACAGAACGAATATAATATTGCTTCCTTTGGTGCAGCCCTTATTAAAGAAACCAGGATCACTGAGGGCTCTGTCGATCCAGTCTTTGTACATGGCCACTCTGGTGTGAATGGTTGGTAATCCTGACATGCAGTGCTCTCTGGTATCACCTTCTTCAGAATGTAGTTTAAGACATGATACAATTCCAACTTGGACTCCGTCGACCAAAACTGCGCCACCGGAGTCGCCTACACAGGCTCCTTTAGGACCAGCGCCTGAGGTGCAAATTTGGGTAGGGTAGATTTTCTACGGAGAAAAAATGTTCATTATATCATAGCTTTCTTAGAATACGATATAATTTTTACCTCCCAGGCCACTGACTGGCGAGGAAATATTGTAATCGCGGAAAAAAAAAATGTATGAGTTGAGGGTTGGGGTGGCAAATGTTATATTGTTATGTTTATCAGTCAAAGACGTTCTATCATTAAGAAGCTTCTTCTATTAGGCGTACGTACCACTTTAGCGTTCTGTAAAACGTATCAGTTGTACTGAGCGTGGAACTCTAAAATCGTCGGTTGATAAATGCTTTCCTAAATGATCATTTAACTGTTTTTATATGTGCACATATCTTTCTGAATTTTATGCTCCTTTGCGAACCGCTAATTTGTGTTACTCAGTATATGATGGTTCTATCAATATGGGCGTGATAACAAGAACAAAATTTTGTCAAGTAGATTGATTCAGTAATAGATGACCCTTTGTGTTGTCGTATTTCTGTGTTTACCAAAAATGATCAGTAACTCAAAAAACATCAAAAAGCAAAGATCTGAATCTGATAACTACGCTGCCCCTGGATTGATTTCCAAAGCCTGGAAAGTCCGATTTTACATGTCAGTAATCAGTACCTTAAGAGCTATACCGGGGCTAGGTATTACCACACAGACGACAAACAGACAGGTTGACAGCTTTGACTCTTTCGAAAAACATATCTCATATTACATCCAAAAAACGATATATAAATTTTTCGCGATCACAACACTCGGCGTGTAGGGTGAAAATGCTTGTCCTAGTAAGCCCATAACCGAGAATAGTTTGAAATAAAAAAATATACCTGCAAACAAACAAAAAATATTTTGAAAATCCTTGACTAAGCATTTTTACCGAATATGTCTGGAAGACGCAACCATGTTGATCCAAAACCTTAACGTCAACGGATCTCAGTTCAGGCGATTGTGCTTGACTGTCGGTCATTCCCCAGCCTACAATTGTAGCTTGTTCGTCGACATATAGCTTAGTAGGATCTCTGGCCAATTCAACAGTGCTAACCGTTTCGCCATCCAGATCAACGTCTTCATTTAGTTGCACTAAAGCTATGTCGTCCTAATTTTTGCAAATGGAAGAGTAAAGTGATCACAATTGATAGGATGTTTTTTCGTCAGAAATCTGTCGCAAAAACATACTTATGTTATTGTACATTTATAATAAAAATTCGGGCAAAACAGCAAACTGACAAATCTGGCAAATATTCAACGTTTGCTGTTGTACGAGGATAGGATCTGGCTCTAATGTTTTATGTAGATGCATCATTGATAGTCAACTTTTGTAAGCTCAGGGCGTATCGTGATCATTCTAACTTTAATCTAGACGGTTTCTAACATGACTTACTTTTAATAAAATGGAATTTTATATATACAGGATGTAAACGTTATGGCAGTCATTATTGAAATGGGTAATAGCGGAGGTCAAAACAAGTTAAAAAGTTCATACGACCCATGGTCCAAAAATCAATAGATTGTTGTCTAAATGGCTTTATACTTTACAACTTAAGTGCTTTATATCGATCACAATCACAACAATGTTACTAATTTTTATAATCTAATCTAAAACGTTTTTAAATTGGGTAATTAACAAATAAATGGCAGTAAAATTTTCTAAGTTAGGCCAAAATTTGTAGTCAGTAAGTAAGTTTCATTAAATTGAATATTTAAAACACACATGACAACAGCGCGTCGGTCATCATCACTCTTATCAAACCGGCAATCGATCGCAAACGGTAACAGTGGCTAGTATGTTGTTTTGTTTTTGTTCGCGTACGTCGTCGCGAAAAAAATGTTAATGCGGCTGAAATAATAAATGGACAACTTCGAGGACCTAGAGTAAGAAGAAACTGGGTTCGTTGTAATGAAGCTTGTGTGGACGACATTTTGAACACCTTCTTTAAATACAAAAAAAGTGCAGTGTGGGTTTTAGAAAGAAAAACAATGTATGTGTAAAAATTGTGTTCCCTATTTATAAGTGGATTTTTTTAATACGTTCAATAAACTTTCACACACCAGGTGAAGCGCTGAGACAGTTAGTGGTAAGTCCGTTTTTTTAATTGTTTGCATTTTACGAGTACATTATCAAATAATGAAATAATACCTAAGAGCCAAAAATAACAAATTCCATCTTTATTTACACTGAGTTCCGTCGTAATTTGCGTCTGGCATTGCGGCATTGTCAGATTTTATTTTACTTTAAAGTCGTTTTTCTCTAAAAAAATGCCGTTTTGACCCCCATGTTATGTGAAACTTTTTGCTTCTTTAAACCCCCTCTATCACCTATTTATATAATGACTATTACGTTTACACCCTGTATACGTTGAAAGATGTGGATGAAGTGTTTGCATTTATTAGCTCTAATATCTTGTCCACCTTCAGTTTGGATGCTCCCGTTAAAGGAATTCGGGTTACCAAGCCACTAGCTCCTTGGCGAATATTCAACAAAAAACTCATGATGCGAACAAAAAATGATGCATATAAAAAATTTAAACGTACAGGAAATTACCTTTGTGATGCTATTAGGCAAGAAAAAAGCATACCTTGATCATGTTATGAGATAGAAGAATTCGAATGCTACATGGAATATATTCAAATCTTTGAATATCGTTACACATAACTCGATAAGTCTACCTCCACCTTTTCGAAATCTCGAGACATTTAATAGTTTTCTAAGCGTACCTCAAACAAGCAAAACATTAACTCAGTCAAACCGTTTAACGAAACGTCAAGAATAATGGTACTTTTTTCTTTTTCCTATTAACTATGTTATTTTGTAATCATATGACGAATAAAGGCAGTTTATTATTACTATTATTATTGTTATTATTATTCGCAGCCCTTAGTTTGATCGAACACTTTTGACCTACTCCTCGTATCGTGGATATTGTACTGCTTGTTGAGATGAATGCTGCGAAACCTAAATGAACGAAAGAGACTCTTCATGTGATATGTCAACAAAATTGTCATAATAATATTGCTAGTGCATGAGTCATATCATCCAAAATCTGGCGAAATATGGTAAGTTTTTTCAGATTTCTTTTGACATATTTTGGACAAAAACGCATGCTCTGCACGACTAGTCTAAACATTTTTTGATAAAGACGAGTTCATGTTAAAAAGGTGCTCGACCCTGATTGTGTACTTCTCATCCTAGGTATGTAATGTACGATTATTCTATATCGGCATTGACGCATTCCTTTAAGTCAGTACTAGAATGTAATTTTTATAAATTGATATAGCTTTTATAAAGAACGTGCGAAATGAAAAGATTCAGAAGTCTGTGGATGGACTTTCTAGGTAGTTTCTTATAGGTCTTAAGCATATTATCAAGGGAAGAGAGAGATAGGATAAATAGAACGATAACGATACTGATTTTGCCACGTACCTTACATTCCTTACCATAATACCCACCATGGGATCTATAAGTTGATGTAAAGTATAGTTTTTCAGATTTTTCATATTTGGAAAAGACGTGTTTTCCTAATTTGATAGCCACCAAAGATGGACGCCTAAAAGATATTTCATATTTATAAACTAATTTAAAATTATGCCGTGAAGTTAATTCGGATCTTCCTACAGAGAAGTGTTTAAAAATTAAAATTGGCAGCAACTTTAGCGTTTTTGTACGTTGAATAACTAATAACTCAACAACCAACTGTGTATAAAAACGTGATACTATGTTGTATCAATCTATACTAAGTGACATATAAATCCGAACACCCAGTTTAAATGGTTTTATTTTAATAAAAGTTGGTGAATGTATTTATCTTACTGTAAATAACAAGTGAAAAAATGTTCAGCTTTATCAATTGGACATTCCGGGTTTTATACTGTTTTTTTTTAATTAACTAACGCTGTAAAAATGAATATTTCAGCCGCAGTAAAGAATCAACGTTGGCGGATTTTGGTTCTTGACATCCTTTACGAACGGTTACGATGCCTAGAGTACGGAGACCTGTACGATTTCGTCAACTTAGTGAATTTGATAGGGGCCGTATAGTGGGACTTCGGGAAGCAGGACTTTCTTTTCGGGCAATTGCAGTTAGAGTGCAAAGAAGTGTAGACACTGTGGTTAGGTGTTGTCAGGCATGGCTTCGAGAAGGCCGTACGCAAAGAGCAAGGGGCACTGGACGCCGCCGTAGTACAACAGACCGTGAAGATCGTCGCCAGATTATTGGCCTTAAGGGACCGTTTCTCCACTGCAAATGAATGGTTTGCAGAACACGGAAGACCTATTGGCATGCGAAGTGTTTACCGACGAATGAGAAGTTATGGCTTGTTTTCATACCGGCCACATTGGGTCCTCCGTTTAACTGGAGAACACCGACGTAATCGCCTTGAGTGGTGCGGACAACGGTCACTCTGGGATCAGGAATGGAACAGTATTGTCTTTAGTGACGAGTCTCGATTTTGTTTAGGCATGCACGATGGTCGTGCCAGGGTTAGAAGGCGACGTGGTGAAAGGAGAAATCCACAGTTTTTTGTTGAAAGACATGTTCATCACACTGTTGGAGTTATGGTTTGGGGTGCTATAGGTTATGGTTCCAGGTCACCTTTAATCTTCATCAGAGGTAACATGAACGCGCAGCGTTATATCCACGAAGTTCTTCTTTCAACATAATGTTGTCACATTGTTACCATGGCCATCAAGATCTCCCGACTTATCCCCAATTGAGCACGTGTGGGATATGATGGGTAGGAGATTGCTCAATTTGCAACGTCCTCCTCAGACTCTAGAAGCACTTCGAGAGGAGTTGGTGGTTGCCTGGAATGAGATACCACAGGAGGACATTGACCACCTGATCAGAAGCATGCCTAGGCGCGTTGGAGAATGCGTAGCACATCAGGGTGCATCCACACATTATTAAAGGTCAAAGGGCTTTAAAGCAGTGCAATCATTTTGAAATTTTTATCATTTACTTATTATGCTTCATTAAGTACTTATACAAAATTTTATTAAAATAAAACCATTTAAACTGGGTGTTCGGATTTATATGTCACTTAGTATATTTTTCTGGGAAAGATCCGTTCGAATGTGTAATAAAATATGGAGCACCCTATTAGAAAAATGTTAAAAGCTGTTATTTTTTAACGCAGTGTCTAAATTTTATTGCAAATTCAGATAGACTCTTTGAAAAGAAGCCGATTGATATATTACTGATGATTAGCTGTTCAGTTATATGCTCAATGTACAAACACGCTCAACTTTGCTAGGCCGCCATTTTAGAAGATAAAGAACATTACATTCTACAGTTGTAAATTACTGATTAGAATCTCCAAAATGGCATGACACATAAACCCCATTCCATTAAAAAAATGATCAAAAATGGCGTCCAGCCGCCAATTAAAATTTTCGACAGTCACTTTTACGTTAAAATATAGTATTCGGACATCAATTGCAACACCAATGTTTGATAATCATTCAAAAAAAATAAGTGAGGGAAGACCTGTATGAAAATATCAGATACGGCTATACATTTTGTCCAAAGTCTACCTCAAATTCTGATTGGCCAAACGATACGAGTTGAATAACATAATTTCTTAGCAAGCGCCGCAAAAAAACAGAAGAACGCATGTTTACTAACGCCCAGTAATAAAAAATAGCCATTCAGATAAGATTTTAGCTGTGGTTGGTCAACCAATGTGAACATCGTCTGCAGAATATAACCGGTTTTCTCACTCTCTGCTAGAATACAGAACGACAGCTCGATTATTTTTTTTCTGCTTTCAGGACGTTAATTGAGTGAAGTCTTAAGATAGTCCGGATTTATTTGGTTTTTAGAAACACCTTCCGGTTATTTATCAGTATCAATCTATATCTACCGTAGCAGATTGTGCTAAGTTTTTGCGTAGTCTCGTACGAAAAGAACGTATTTTTCGTATAGTTTTATATTTTCTTCCAAAGAATAGTTTACCGAATCTTTGTAATGCACCTACTTATTGATGTGATATTTTAAAGAATTTGGTTTAATATCTAAACAGATATGCAGATGCCATACCATTGATTGAAATATTCCACCAAAAAATACTCAACCTAATTGAAAGCTGTCCACTTATGCATGCAACTATACCGGGTGTTTCAAATTCGACTCTTACCATTGAGACCTCGAAAACGATAAGAGATACGAAGTCTGTTAAATGTGGGCAAACTTACGCATTCAGGTAACTAAGAAAATGGCGCTCAGAAAGTTCAGAGTATTTCCGGAGATAGACAAGAGAAACCGAATTTTCCTAAAATCGCTTTTATTTTTTTCACGGCTTTATTGAGCTGTGCTTTAGAAATAGAATTTTAATATGACGTTTCTGATTGCAAAACTGTATATGTCATACAATAACTTCGCCAAATCGTATTTGTTTGAAAAACTAAATGTCCTGAGCTGGCCCTGAAATTATCAGGGAGTCGTTTGTTTCATATTATCATCAGAGAAGCATCCATTCATTTTTTATGAACTAGGTATAAGGAAACAATCCCTATTTCCAATTTTAATGATGCGATATGACATAGATTGATATTGTGAAAGTTTTGTCTAAACAGGTAATCTCCTAATAGTTGGTCCTAACTCATCGAATAAAGAACAACCTAATGTTAATTTCATGTTATCTAAGAGTTGTATTGAAACATTGAAACCAGAATTATTCTACGTAACTGAAATATTTTGGAGTAACTGAAAGCCTCGACGATGTACCAGCTTCGTGAACACATTTCATATCCGCCATATCTAAACCGATACGCACATCTTGGCCATCATGGCCTAGTTTCTGATTGTTCTTTTAATACGCCTTCAAAAACCGAAGCATTTTTGATGTGATCGGACAAACATAAGATAAACTTTCAAAGCCAACTATAAAAATTTTTGAACAACCTAGGTTTGAAAATATCAACAAACGACATGTTATACATCCAGTTCCGAGCTAGCAGCCGTTGCGGGTGTATACTTGCACGACTGCGACCCACCCGGACATTTTGAGCAATCTTATTGCAATTTTCATTGCGATAGATTGGTTGTTTGCCATCTACGATGGCAAAAATTGAGAAGCTGGTTAACCAGCTGAAAGAAAAGAAGGATGCTTTCGCCATGCTGGAAGAGCAGATGCGAAATCTGCAAGAAGCCTTCTTGCAGGCCAGACAGGAGATCGAGGACCTGAGCGGGAAGCTTCGCAAGGCCAAGAAGAAGGCCGCGAAGAAGACAGGAGAAGAGGAGGAAGAGGACCACCAGGCTACGTCGGACGAGATGGACGCCCAAGAAGAGAGCACTCAACGAAACGAAGGAATGGAAGAAGAAGCCGAGAAGAGGACGGACGACAACGATTTCAGTGTCGCCACCAGACGGAGGAAGCGGGTGCGAGTTTCCTCCTCCTCCGAAGAAGAAGAACTCAGGCAGCCAAAGATGCCAGCTGCCACCAAGAAGAGAGGTCCTAGAGCAACCAGGACCACCGAGGCCCCCATGGCAGGAACAGGAGTTCCGCCAATCAACATCGAGGGCACCGCTGATTGGTCATCCTTAAGCAGGATGATGAACAGCAAGGGGATTCAATTCTCCAAAGCGAGGACGGCGGGTACCAGTGTGAAGGTATTCACAAATACACCAGCTGACTACCGTCAGCTAGTCGCACTGCTGGAATCCATCAAGCGGCCCTTCTTCACCTATCAACTAAAGGAGGACAGGATGGACCAGAGGGTCATTCGTGGGCTACCCAGAGAGATGCCAGTCAATGACATCAAAGAGGATCTGGTGAGCCAAGGCATCGCAGACGCCGAGGTTCAGCAGATGACCTCAAGGACCACTAAGAAGCCACTTCCGCTCTTCCTCGTCAAGACGAAGATGCCGGAAAAGCTTACAGAGATCCAGAGGCTGGCCATGCTCACGGTCAGCTTCGAGAGGAAGAAAAAGTCTTCCGAGCCCAGCCAATGTTACCGCTGCCAGCGGTACGGGCACACACAGCGGAACTGCCGTCTCGCTGAACGGTGCGTTAAGTGTGGAGAGGATCACAACAGCACCAGCTGCAGTCTGCCAGCGCCGCCAACAGGGCAACGAAACGCCAAGTGTTGCCTCTGTGGAGAAGGCCACCCCGCCAACTACAAGGGATGTAGTAAGGCGCCGAAGAAAGCTGCTTCTGCCCCCAAAGCAGTCCCCACCACAAATAGGACTTCTTACGCTCAAAAAGCGAAGAAGCCTATGTCCACTTCTGCCCCAGCAGCCGCCACTGCTACTGGAACTACTGCGCAGAAGCAACACGGCGATGACAGACTGCTAGCAATGATGCAAGCCATCATAACCCGCCTGGATGCACTCGAGGCCAAGATGCAAGACAAGCACTAGACCCGAAATGTCTACAGGTCAAAACGTAGAATCTCTACGCATTATCTCCTGGAACATCAACGAATTCAGGGCACGGAAACCAGAAATCCAGGAGATACTAGACCAGTACCAACCAGAGGTGATGGCCATCCAAGAAACGAAGTTGGATGCTGCCCATAGTCTGACGTTCCCGCGGTACGAGACGTACC